GGCCCATGCCGACATTTGAAACGACGACCGCGGTGCAGCGGGCCGGTGACGAAAACAAGACGCATCAGTCGATCCGAATCGAGGCCGTGATTACCAGCAAGGAGATCAAGCTTGGGCAAGACGCCGCGGAGGCAACTGTCAGTAAGAGCAAGCTCAAGGACGACGGAGTGGGCACGCGTGTTCTGGAAGAGACCACGACGGCAGTGCCCGCGATCATCACGGGCAAGGACGACGGCCTTGGGCAAGACGGCCCCAAGGACGTGGTTGTCAAGGAAGAGCCCACGACCAGGCGTGGGCTGGGCAATCAGCAGAAGGCGCTGTCCATGATGGTCAAGGACAAGAGCAGTGAGCCCCACGACGAGCCAGGCAAGGAAGGCGATGGGCACCGAGACCCTACAATGAAGAGCTCCCAAGCGGTCAGCAGGACGACAAGAGCGGATAGTGCCTCGTCGCTGGGTGACGCGGGGCAACAGCAGGACGCGACTACCCTAACGGCGATCTGGGCAAGCAAGGAAGGCACGGCGAGGCCGGCAGCGACGAGCCAAGGCGGTGCGGGGCACCACGAACATGAAGGTCTCCCTCCGCTGGGCAAGTTGCGCAAGGCGGGTTTGAGCGCGACAGCGTGCGCTGTGTGCGAGAACTCGACGCTGGGCACGCAGCGAGCGAGCCATGGGACGACGGACGAGCAAGTCAGGCATGTCACTGCTCCGGATCGAGCCATCGACGACGCTCGTCGAAGTAACGACGGCGAGACCTGCGGCACGGTTTTGCCAGGGCAGGGACATGACGGCGTTCCCGCGGATGGTCATGACCGGGAGTCGGGTGGCAAGGGTGCCGCTGACGAGGACGACGGCAGGCCGCTTCCAAGGACGACTCTTGGTCTCGGAATGGCCACGCGCAACGGCTGTAGCGCGGCGCCCAGGACCTCGGTTGGCGGTGGTGACAGTCAAGACCGACACGCTTCGATGGCGCCCCACGTTTTTGCGCCGGACATGTTGTATGGCCGCCGTGGGCATTGTCGTGAGGCGCCAATCGCCTTTTGGGCCAAGACCTCGCCAAGTGGCCAAGGAAGGTTCGAGGGCCCTCTCACGACCTTCAAGATTGAAGGATTCCCCTGCTGGATGGACGCGTGCCGACCAAAGACCCGCGCAACGTGGCGTCCCGGCGGTGCATCGGCGTGACACACCGACCCCTCAAGGCATTCGAGCCAATCCAAGGCCAGACAGCTGTCTGGTAATAGTGCCGCCTTTTGGCAGGCTGTAGACGTAGACAATTGACGTCAATCACATCCCTTTTTACGACTGGAGACGACTGAGCTACATCCGACCGTGGACCCGTGTTCGGGCTTCACGACACCATAGATGTGTTGGCTGATGAGGTTTGTTACCCTGGGTCTGGATATGCTTGTGAATGTGAGCTTATGTTGTGGCTCATAATCAGTATCATCGATCTCGCACGCCCGGGTTGCCCGGGACGTGTCCGAGGATGTATAGTACTGGATGCATCCATGCCAAAACGCCAAGTTACCGGTACACTGTAGAAGTTACTCGGCTGGTTGCGCGTTGGGCACGGCAGATCAATGTAATGCACTCTTCGTTCGCTACAGCTAATTGTTTGACGGAGCTCCGACGATTCCTCAAACGTGCATGTCGGCGTAGGCAGCGATGCGTTTACCGAGCAGCCACACCAAGTACAGTGTGCTATTGCCTGTTTGCTGTGACCGATTCCGCTCCTGGCAACAACCAGAACGTGAAACACCAGACTGAGGGAGGCCGTACTTCCTAAACACCGGCTAGTGTACTACACAGCAGAACGGAAAGTGGCAACTAAGCTACGTCTACGGACTGCTGCCAAAGACTGTACAGTCTCATCAACGGGCTTCTCCCGTAGGACTAAACATGCAAACACACATCGCCTTGTCCCAGTCTAGTGGTGTTGGCGTGGGCTAGGCTCACACCGAGTGACCCACCACTGTATGCGACCAACGGTCACATTGCACAGCCCCAATCCAGCAGCTACCCACCCCACTCTGTTCGAGACGTGCGCCAGAACCAGACTTTCCACCACCATGCAAGCTACTTGGTTGGGTACTCGAGTTGGTGGTCAGCGCTCACCCGACTCCAGCTTTCAAATGAGACGCCATTTTCCTTTTGCAGCTTCTCGCTTGCGATCACAACGTTCGTATGGCGACAACGTCTCCAGAACCAAAGCGTGCGCGCGTCGAGGCGGCGCCGTGGCTGCTGCCGCACGTCGTGCTGCAGGTGGTCCATTATCTTGCCGATGCTGATGCCGCCAACGCGTTTCTCCACGCGGTGCCGCCCGGCGCCCGTGACGAGTCGCTTGATGCGCTCGCAACCCTCTTTACCGAGGGTGTCGACTTCTGGCCAAAGACTTTTCTCGACGATGTTTTGAGAACGAAGGACCCGTCGACAGTGATCAAGGCGCTACCAGCGCTCCGCATCCTCGACATTTGCGAAAATGACGCCCGCGGCGTCAGCCTTTGCCGAGCCACGCCGCCGGTGCCGACGGTCGATGTCAACGTCATCGTCTCCAGCACAAACCTGTGTGACCTTCGATCCATTCTGGGTGGCTGGGTCGCCAACATCACCGATCTAGACGTTGATAGCTATGCCCAGCCGCTCAACCTACAAGGTCTGCAGCGATCGCTCGCCGAGTGTACAAGGCTCAAGACGATCACCATGTCGTGGCGAAACCCCATGTTCATGGACCAAGACGAGCTGGACATCCTCCTGGTGGCCATTACCGAGTCGTGTCCGCGCATCGCGGTTGTGTCGCTCACGGCACCCAACTTCACCGTCTTGGAGGACAGCGAGTGCCTTCTCGAGTTGCTCGCACGACCAAGTGTGACGCAGTTCAGGCTGACGGGGTGTGCTGTGGCAGCGACCGCGACCGAGGATTTGGTGCACGGACTGCGTTCGCTGCCGTCGTTCGAATCCGTCCGCCTCGAATGCACCGGCCGTAGCATTTCGATGTTGCGCCCGTCAGCGCCACGGCCGTCCCGGAACTTGCCGATCTTGGATATTGACGCCAGCAGCGTCGTCCAGGACACCAGTGTATGGGACGAAGCGATGTGTCTCGCTTTCCCAACAGTGCTGCGGACGTTCAAGGTGTACAATGCGCGGATGGCCGACTTTCCGCAGCTGCCGGAGCTCCGCAACCTCACCTTGAGCAACGTCGAGCTGACGAGCAACGCTGTGGCGTCTCTCTGCGCGCTGCTGGCGACGACGACAACGCTCACAACCCTCTTGTTTATGACGCCGAGCGACTTTACGCAAAACGTCGACGCGGTCCTGGCCGCTCTGCCGCGCTGGCTGAGTCGCCAACGACACGCGTGCAACGTGCACCTTGACGTCCCAACGGCAAACGCGGGGGTGGTCGCCGCCATTGTGGAGAAAACGCGCAGCTCGCACGGGGTCCACTTGGAGGTGTTCAACGACATTAATCTCGCAGCGAGCAAGCGCGTCGTGACGGCCCTTGGCGCGACGTCGCAAATGTCGGTGTGGCTATTGAGCCGGAGGAACATGCAAGATGACGAGCTCAAGGCACTTGCCAAGATGCACAACGTGTACTACGAAGGAAGCTACTTCGTCTCGCCACGCCCGACGCCGACGCAGTAGTCATATGCACTTCACCAATGATCAAGCATTGAGTTGTCTTCTTCGACTCGTCTCTTTTAGCAACACAAATTTGGAAAAATCAGCACCAACTTGCACGCCGGTGTAGAACATCTATCTATCAATCTATCAATCTATCTATCTATCTATATATCTATCTATCTATCTATCTATCTATCTATCTATCTATCTATCTATCTATCTATCTATCTATCTATCTATATATATATCCACCTGACAGAAGCTTGGATACAACGCGTCGTGCCTTAAGGTTACCGTACGTTGTTCGGATATTAATGGTAGGAACCCCTGGTTACTCCAGCCCACAGGAGATTAACCTACTGGGGCGCATGCGGCGCACGTCGTCTGCCGTGCTAAACAAAAATCACACCTCGGGGTAACAGGCGTCGTTGCGGTGCCTCCATGGGGTATAGCCGACGTGTTGAAAGGACCATTCAATGTCTTTGGACACTCGGCGATATTTGTACCTGAACGCAGAACTGGTTTTGCAGCTCTGTCGCGTCGTTGATTGAACCCATCCACAGTGATTTTTACGTCGGATGCGAGCTCGCGAATCAAGGTCATCCGATGCTCCTCGTACATGCACGGGAATGGGCGCCGACCTCGAACACCCGGGAAACAACTCAGGGAAACTATGGCATTGAAGCTACGCGATTGGATACTCGAGGATGGGCAAGAGATCGCAAGTGGACCGAGATGAATTGTGTGGTTGCTTGGGAATCCCTTGCTACAGCCGAAGAGGTATCTGGACAGAGCTTGTTTGTTTGCACGCGTTCGAGTGCGGCGAAGACCGAGCATCTGCGCTCGGTGCTAGATCTCGGCACAGCTACAGTTGTTGAAATGAGTTATTAACATGCAATTATATAGTGAAGATGGTGGACTTCCTAGAGCGCTCGTGAGGTTTGGCCGGTACGTCAAGCTGAGGGCGCTTGGTCGGGGCTCAGGATTGAGTGGGGAATGAGGTAGCGAGCACACCAAGGATCGGCGCGTAGGGCATGGAGCGACTCATCAAGCGAAGGCACCACGGCGCGGCGGGCCAAGTGTCGGATATGCAGTCGCGTGATAGTAGCGGCTTTGATCGCGAGCGCATCAGCGGGAAGGGGCGTCAATGTCGTGCGAAACACGCGGTTGTTACGTTCAAGCCAAAGACTGTACCAAACGCAAGCGCGCAGGATCGGCCAGAGGGCACGGATGATCGGCTTGTGGGCTGAGAACGGTAGAGCGACGGCGTCGTAAAGAAAGCCACCGACCGACGTCGGGAGTTGCAGCTTCAAGATATCGGCACAGCTACAGTCGTTGAATATCCTCGCAGCTTCCCAGGTGCAACTGCGACAGAACCAGATTGCGTCAAGGCTACTCGATACGGTAGCCGGTGATCAGCGTTCGCTAGAGCAGCAGCCACTTTGCCCTTTGCATTTTCGGGCGTTGTACGACATTGCAGTGACCACCAAGTTCAACCTGAATGACGTCGACAACCACCGAACCAAAGCGCACGCGGGTCGAGGCGGCCCAGGGGCTGCTGCCGCACGTTGTGCTACCGCACGTCGTGCTGCAGGTGGTTCATTATCTCGATGAAGCCAGCGCCGTTCTGGTCTTTCTTCGCGCCGTCGTTTATCGGTCGTCGTCGCTCCCAGCCAAACGAGAGCAGCGTGTACTACCGGTACCGACACATCTATCGAAGTAGAATCCTCCCATTTCACAGGTCACCGCCGACATCATAATGGGCCTCCTTGGCAGGCGTTGAAATGCAATGCTGTGCAGTCAGTTGTGGCATTTATGGCACTGGCCTAGACTACATCAAGCAGCCTCTCGTCTTCTTCGGGCATCCATGATCCCTTCTTGGCAAAGGGAGACTCGGCGTCCCACTGGTGTCGCCATTTGTATCATGAGGCGCGGAAATGCCTGCTTCCACTTCATGAGATTGGGTCCGAAAGTTTGAGATACGTCAGCTACGCTGCAGGGCGAAGGGGAGTTAATTCCATCAACGCTATCGGTTCTGCAGCTTATACCATGCACCTCTAGCACAATAACGTCTGCGGTTTACTTGGGGCGAGCTGTTTAAACGCGTTATACCTTCAACCTTC